ACTCAGAAGGTACGTTAGACATGATTCAACCTAAGGAAGAAAAGTATCAAACGAGGAGGAGTAAAGAACAATGTAAATCACTAGAACAAAGAAAAAAAGTTCGGAAGAGAAGGGAGCAAGAGAAAGGTATGGGAAACAACAGAAAAGTTAAACTTCAAAATCGTGTCCAAATACCTCTATTTATAAAGGTCACTGCACCGAACCCAAAAACGGCACATCATTATTGGCACCGGAATCAAAGCGGCAGGTTTAATTAGAGGTCAGACACGAAATAAAGTGACGCATCGGGAATATGCATCATAATGACGCATGACATCATGACATCATCCTAACTCGTGGACAGCATAACTCTAGCAAATCACCCGGGAAAATTGAAGCATTTGAAAAGCGCGGCCCACGTAGGGTCACGCTGCCTGTTCGTCGCAACCACCGCGACCTGCGTAGCTCGCTTGATTAGCTCGACCACAAAGAACATGATCCGCTCATCGAACCCGCCCATGAAGCCGGCCTCAATAAACGGAAGGACTAACTATATGAGTCAAAATCTATTTTTAGAATATTTAAGCCAAGATAATATTGGGGGAAAAGTTTTCAGGTCGTTGTTTATCGAAATGAACCAAGAAGCGGCGAAGTCTGTGGTCGAAGAGTTAACAAGGGCTAAAGTCTAGGAGGCAACAAGGATCAAGGCCGAGGTCGAGTACTTTTAATAGATTTATAACGGCTAGTTTCAAGATAGGACATTAAAGAGAATATTCTAGTGAATATTCTCTGCACTTGTACTATTAGGATTTTTTAGGAACATGTTCCCTATGAATAGAAAAAGACACAATGATAGGGGACATGTGATACTCATTTGTAAAAATACACTGTGACATTAGAGTGAGAGAATCGAATTTCATTGCAAGCACACAAGCATCACCTTTTCACTAAGATTCGTATCTACACTTTTTCACCGGATTCGAGAATAACTCGGATATTCAAAGGACTGTCCATCACTCATCATTGTCAGAAAGAACATTCACTGATTCCATCTTTTCTTGGGTGACTCATTTATTCTATTTACTTAAAATGCCATTTATTGTTATTCATCAATATTTAATGTTATATTATTGCCTTTGATTTCTTGAGTATTGATTGTATGTTGCCACTGCTACCAAAATATACCTACGTAACATTTATTGTACTTTTGAGAACTCCATCTTTGGAATATTATTGTTAACTAAGATTAACCTTCATTTATATAAATTTAATTAGTTGAACCAAGATCTAAAAATTTTTGTCAAAACAAGTTTAATCGTCCCTTTTTTTTCGTTGCAATTTGTATGAATTGACCGACTTCTTGCAATACAGAACAATGACAATTAATTTTACTTTTTGCATTAATTGGAAGAATATATTGTCGTGTTAGTATATTGTTTTGAGATATTTTCACTTGACAAACTCGTTAACAGGATTGATTCAAGTCCAAGTTAAAACGTCAAGGTAACCTGTGAAAATTTAATAAAAAGAAAAGAAGATCAGAAACCAGAAATATTCATAATATATATTCGGTTGAATTTATTTTACGGAAAAGGGCTAAAAATACTCATATCGTATTCTAAATGGTTTACTATCGTGCGCTGTCCACCTATTTGGTCCAAAGATACACCTAACGTTATCTTTCGGTCTAAAACTACCTACCCCCCCCCCCCCCCTCTCGACTAATGGAGTCATTTGTGGTCCCATCTTTTAATGTGCTGTCACGATGTGATTGGGACACGTGGTCATTTGGTCCATATCAGTTACAACCCGCCCCAAATATGGAACCGCCCCATTTTTCGGTATGATAAATCCGCCTTATTTCTTTGACCCGCACCATTGTTTGACCCGCTTCATTATCTAATAATTATTATTTTTTGCTTTTTGCCTCTCTTTCTTCCTCATTGACTGGACGGGACTACACAGAAACCACAAACTAAAAATCTCGCCAGAAGCCTCACTTAAATTGACTCCTTGAACCCCAACTCAAAAATTATTGATTGGAGGCGAAGAAAGTTGATTATCAAATCTTGTTTTGAAGAAAGTCTATGCATTTGGCCTTGGTGGTGGTGCGTTTTTTTAGTAGTGTGGTGGGTGTTTCGCTGGAGGAAACTGGCTAGCTTTCATGATGGTTATGGAGCTGCTTTAATTGCTGTTTTTGAGGGTTTTAGAAGACTGAGATCCGAAGGAAAATGGGTGGCTTAGATGGCTGAAACGAGATGGTGTTTCGGAGCTACTGCACAGTGGCGTTCAACTGCGTTTTTTTAGCTGCTCGAAAATTTCCTGTGGTTTCGCGGTTGTTTTTGGGTAAAACAAGGTTTGTTTTTAGGGCTGGTTTTTTATTAGGAGGAAAGGGTAGGGTGGCGGCTTTAGGATAGGAGGGATTGCAGCGGGGTGGTGGCGGGTGGTAGTTTGTGAAGTGAAAAATGAGAGGAGTGAATTGAAAATAATATAGAAGGAGAGTGGATTGAAGGAAGCTGCCATTGTTGATTTTCTTTCAAGGCCGGAAGAAGAAGAAGTTTGGGGGAGGGATAAGGTGGGTGGGATGGGTGATAAGGAAGAAAAAGAAAAAGAAATTGAGCAGGTCAAACAAATGGGGCGGGTAAAAAAATAAAGCGGATTTATGATACCCATATTGATGAAGTGAAATGAAGAGTCGTGGCCTAATAAAATGCTACCAACACATTAAAATTCGGCCCCACATCTGCTGCCGTTAAATTGAGAGGTATTTTTAGCAATAGAAATAACGGTGGAGATATTTTAAAATCAATAGGTGGACGGAGCACGATAGTAAATCATTTAAAATACGATAAGGGTACTTTTAACCCTTTTCCGTTTATTTTATGTTCATCACACTTGTCATCGAACCAATTGAGATAGACAAGGGAGTTCCTCGTACACTGGATTTAAGCAAAGAAAAGCACACGAGTTTGGTAATGAAGCAGTTGACGATGAAATGGTCTTGCATATGGAAGCATGGGAGCTGTAGACATATGCAGGATCCGATTTTAGTGCCTCATTTATTGGCGGCTACCTGAAAGTCACCGTAAAGCAGAGCTATCTGACCAAGGGAGGAGCATCGCCGACACAAATGTATGGTGTGGAATTTAATATTTGAAGCATCAAATTCATAGTTTGTTTTATTTATTGGTCCCTGTTAAATATCTATATATATTTAATAAAGTATAAGGTCTAAACAAAAGTTATTAGATTCAATCGAACCCATATTAAGTACTCTAGCTTCGCTTCTGTGTGGTATCACTAGTCAAGCTATTTAAGCCGATCATGGACAATGTTATAAAAATTCACTCGCAGCATTATATATATATATATATATATATATATATATATATATATATATATATATATATATATATATATATATATATATATATAAAGGCATAACATATTTTTTTAAAAATAAATTTTATCAACTAATCATAGTTGATAACACATACAGGGTCAGTGTGCAAATACTAAACACTTCAGTTAATCTCTGTCTTGCATTTGCAGTTAATAACGTAGCGCAAATATAAACCTAGAACTATGGTAGAGTAGTTTCTTGATTTTTCTAACTATTTATTTTCCTCATAAAGTATGAAATTATGTGTGAATGATGTCTGGGATAGCTCAAACATGGACTGATAGGCACGCACATCTGCCTACTATCATTGCAATTTGCGTCTTGTAGATGCATTTAAGCTCGTTAATCATTTGATTAATTGCCATCTGTAATTATCTTCTTTTTCCCTTCAGAGGAAAGTTAATTATAAGAAAGATCTCGAATACACACAGATATTTTAATCAACACTAGTCTGTTTAAAACATGTCGCAAATGTAGTAGTAATTAATATATGATAGTGCGCCACCTTCAACTAGATCATTATATTTTGGTGCATTAGGTCCACACATTTGCAACCAAATCTTCGTCATGAACGAAAGGACTCTAATCTCTCAAATTTCTAGAAGATAAGTTCTATTTATAGGATACACCATTTTATTATTATTATGATTGTTGTTGTGAGCTAACTTAAATTACAATATTCTCTTTATTTTAGAAAGTTATGATGGAATTTATAGTACAAAAGTCAAAACATCTAATTTTCAGCCTAAAATTAAATATTGATTTCTTAAACTTTGTGAAATGAATTAGTACTCTTTCTTAAGCTAAAGTAGTCCAGATTATCATTTTTTTTAAAACTTGAAAATATTTGGGAAAAAAAATCAGTGAGAAAATCTAACTCTTCAAATAGTAACGTCATAAATAGTGTCAATCGGCTAGACCGTGATGAAATTTATCCATTTGTACCTAAGAGTGGTCTGCTCTTTGAATTCTCTGCCAACCTAAGATTACTATTTCTCAGTTCTCACTTCTCACTTCTCACAAGAAAGTATGACATCACTCTACTCTACGCGCAGAGGTAATCCATTTAATATACATTCTTTCCGTATTTTGGCGCAGCTTCAGCTTATCGAGGATATGATCTTGATAGGAAGATTTGGAGGTCGAGGATTAGGGTAGCAGAGCAAGTAGTCTAGGGTGTTCATAACAGTAGCATTGGCACACAATCTCGCTTTCTATTAGTATAGGTTTTTATGACTAACTCTTTTCTTGTCTATATTTTCATTAATGTAGTGCTTATGCTTTCCTGAGCCGAGGGTCTATTGAAAATAGCCTCTCTATCCTCACAAGGTAGGGTCTATATTTCTATATTTTCATTAATGTAGTGCTTATACTTTCCTGAGCCGAGGGTCTATTGAAGTACACACTACCCTCTCCAGACCCCACGGTATTAAAAAGGATTTAGACTGAACGCAAATCATAAAATATAAAATAAATACTGAAAGGAACTATATTCATGTGCGGAGCAGTACGGTATTTCGTGGTTACAGCATGGGCTGCTTTTGTATCTACCTATTTATTCAATTTTGAAACTCCAACTACGCATTGGATCATGTATTTCAGCAACTTACAAATGTCAGAAGTTACAAAGAAAGAGTCCGCATTTATCTATTAACAAAAGTTTAATTACAATTTCGCTATGTGAACTATGCCAAAAAAAAAAAAAAAGGAAAACTGTTAACAAGAAGAATGAAAAAGTAAACAGAAAAATCCCAAGCACGAGACCCTTCTCAGTTTTCTGTGATCTAAAGACAAGAGTTGCTGAATTTACACAAGTTTGAGAGGATCTGTATCATATGACTACTAGCAATTATAGTAGTAGGAAAATAAGGCCAAAGGGGCGGTTGTCAATTAACAACTCCATAGTCACCCTCCCTGCTCTTCCTTGTCTCCCCAACACCACTGTCCAGCAATTTAAATACAAAGGGAAAATCCAAATTGTGCAAACCAAAATTATCTTGGACCCCATTCTAGTTATCCCTTTGTTATTTCAATTTGTATCCTTGACCAATAAGATTTTCTTCTCTTATGTCACACATCTTCATGACTTCATCTTCCTCTTTAATCTTTTTTTTTTTTAATTTCTTTCCATTTTAGAACTAAACATCAGTATTGGAGGAGTCGAGCGGGAAACAAGTATCTTCACCACCAGTATTCCATAGAAAATTAGCATAATTAGCTGCATAGAATGAGTTGCTTGGTTCTGCAGCTATGGCTTCAAGAAAAGTTTCTTCTGCAGCCCAAAGGTCCTTCCTTACTTGCCACAGAAAATTTGCATACTTATTCAATGCCTCTGCATCCTTTGGCTCCACCTTTGATGCTTTCTTGAAGTACTCCTCCGCTCTGTTCATAACAACAACACAAAATAATTAATATCCACAGTTAACCAAATTATATACACCCGCTATACAAAGAATTTTTACACTATTATATTTTTAACCTGTTGTCGCAGGTACTCTGCATTATTTCTTTAGGTTATAGATCAACTTAATATGATTATTTACGTTTAGGTCTCTAGCCGCAGGTCTATCGAAACAGCCTCTGTCCTTCCTTCCAGTTTCAAGGTACCCTCCCAGAAGCTAAATTCATTCTGAAATATCAACAGTAAGTTGCACCTTGGGGCATTTACTGCTCTCTTATGAGGTAGTACTGCAAGACTGAAATGGGGCCTATACACAGTGATATTTAACAGGAAGTTGCACCTTGGGCCCGCACAGATTGATATAATTGGAGAAAAGAAATAAAAGTACTACGACAGACTCCCCTATCAAGATTCAACAATGCCACCCAAAAATTACAGAAAATGACCATTGCTTTGTGAAGGTGATTTTTCAAGCCGCCCAAAACAATTCAAAACAAGCAACTACTCTTGACATGAAGATCAGCTAATGAGCTAAAAGTCATGACTTAATCTGCCAATTAGATCTAGTTCCCCTTAGTAGAAAAAAAGGATTAAAAATCTAACATAGAAATGAGAAAAAGAGAAAATTTAGGTACCTGTCATAATCTTGGGCGACCAAGAAAAGAAATTGAGCATAGTTGGCTAGCAAAAGAGTGTTCTGTGGTTCTTGGTTGAGTCCCATTTGATACAGCAACTCTGTTCTGAAATAATCTGCGTAATCATCTACTTCAATATTTGCATATATTGGTGACACAAATCTCTGCATAGTTTCATAATCTAAGGACTCATCTCTTGTTGCGGCTTGCATCTTAGAAGCCTCATCTACAATTGAATCCCAAAGCTTCAACTCTTCTTCCCTTGTTTCTTGAGCAGATACACCCTCTTCTTCACTGATCCGAGTATTCGAAGAAATCCCATCAGGAATAACGGTATAATAATTAGACGACAGACCTCCATCACCATCATTTCCACTAGTAATTGGCTTGTAATTCCCACCACCTCCATTACTTCCACCAATGAATGTAACCTTCCCACTTGAAGATGACACTGAAAATGTCTTAATTGCAGAAGTATCAAACTTTTGATTAAAATTACTCTCTTCCAAAGTAGAAACAGTTTCTGTAAGTGGTGGTGGTGGTGGTGTAGCAGCAATAGCAGCACTGTTTGCCATAGAATGAACACTATAATTAGCCAGCAGTATCATCACATATACCATTAAAGTAGGTGTATGTGAAAATACTTGCTGAAATAGCCACACAAAAGATGCATGCATCTCCTTTTGTACTCTCACCAAAATCCCCTGTAGATCTTCATAATACAACATTTCCCTCATCTGCATAGTATAGCTTTGCAGCTCTCGAATTATGAACACCATATTCGAAAATGCTTTTTTCACTGAACAATATGCTGATTCACCTGCTTCTCTCACCCCATCTTGCCATTGTTTTTTTCTCTTTATAATCCTAAGGGAGAAAGGCAGATCCACGCTATTCGCCTTCCATTCGATATTCGCAGGAATTATCTCGTCTCTTTCAGGCCAATCCGGTTGTTCTAAAGGATCAAACGGCTTATGATTCTCCAAAAACTTAATATCACTACCACTAGTAACAATCTCACAACTTGTTTCAATAGAGTCAACAATAGCTTCAAGCTGAGAACTCATAGTATTTTGATTTTCAACGTCTGAAAGTTGGAATTTAAGGGCCAATTCTTGAATTTCCTTAGAGAACTCTTCATCTGAAAATGAATCTAAGCTGGCACTTGTGCTAGAAGCCCTTGTAATTGTTCTGGTTCTTGGCTTGAGTTGCTCACAAGATTGAGACCTGTGTAAATTCAAGATTTGGGAACCAAAAAGAGCAGATTGGTCCAGCCTATGGACATAACGGCAGATAAGAGATCCTCTGCTGCTAATACTACGTCGTTTTGAAGAAGGTGAAGAGATTGCAGAAGCAAGAGTTTGAGAAGAAGAAGAAGAAGAAGAGGATGAAGAGTGAGGAACAAAGGATTGATTCCATTGCAAACATGTTGTTGCAACTTTCACTCCCATTTTTTTGTACTCAAAATTGTTAACCAAGAGACTATATGGTGGTGGAAAAAAAAAGTCTCAACCTTTTGATTCGGATCCACAAAAAGGCTTCACCTTTCTTTCTTTTAACTCGACCCCAAAACCTGCAAAAACAATTAAAAATGAACCGACCAAAAAAGTCAAATTCAAGGAAAGTGGTACCATAGTTTAAGTTGAACTGAATCAGTAAACGCAAAAAAAAATTAAAAAAAATACACAATATAACCAAAAAGACCGTGCTCCAATGATTATACTCAGCCATCAAAATCGGATCAAAGAAACAGAGTCCAAGAAAATGAATACTAACGAAAATGGAATAGAAATTCACGTCAAAGTATTTTGAAACTTACGTAGTAATAGGCACTGTCACTGGAAAAGCTGAAGACGGTACCTTTTCTCCGATGAGTTGCGGAGTTATTTTCGGTGGAGAGAGCGAAGTACGAGCACCTTAAGTTCGCTTATCAAGATTAGCAGTGTAGTTGAGGTCTTATATATATGCACGTTTCAACAAAATAAAATACAGGAGTATTTCATTTTAATTAAAAAAATAAATAAATAAAAAAATCTTAACAGAGTCCAAAAGCGAGCGGAGAAGTATGAATAGAATAAAAGAGTATTATAAATATACACGTACATTTAAGGTTGGGAAGTTGCCGGTTCCCAGTATAATTGTGTACTGCTAGGATATTTTTTGACAGCTGTTCCCGGTCAAAGCCAAATTGCATGGAGATTGTTGTTTTATTTATTTTATTTTTAAATATTTAAGAAAATCTTCTGAAAAGTATTGTCGTTTGAAGAAGTGATTCAACCAATTTTTTCAAAAAAAAAAAAAATCTTTTCTTACCATATACTAGCTGTTAAACGTTTAAAAAAGTTCTAATCATCCAACAAAATTCGTTTTTTTAAACGAACTATTTTTATTTTTTTTCAAAAAGTTCTTTCATAAAATTACCTCCAAAAGATATCTAAATTTTCAAGGCTCTTATAAGTTAGAATATTAATTGCATTGAAGGGTTAAAAATTAAATACAGTGGTAAACTGCATAAAATACATAGTTGGCAGGGTTTTTAATTGAAACTATAAATGATAAAATTACTGTATTTTGCACATATAAACGGGTAAATCCCTTTAGTATAATATATTTTAGTAATGCAGTGACAAATGCGTCCAGGTTCTGTCACTATTTAAATGACCTTTTGTTTTCTATTACTACTGACTACACAAATATACGAAGTACGAACAAGCAACAAGTGGGTAAAAGATCTCCCACAAAAGGAATCAAATCGTATAAATTACTACTAGTATTAAATTATACACACATAAATTCACGTCTCTGAATTTGCCGGTAGCCAGTTAAACGTTTGTATAGGAACTTTAGTTATTTACAGCTATTTTGAGGAGTCAAAGCCAAATTGGAGTGTTAGCAAACGGGAGACTCGTTGGGTGATTAGTGATTTTAACGCGTCTGTGTTCACGGGACTTCTGGATCTGAACCAAGAATGGGCTCGTGCCACGTGTCCATTCACTATTGAGTTTTTTTTTTATTTTTACTTTAAGAGGAAACGTGAGTTCACCGACCCAAGTGTCCATTTTGCTGACAGGTGTAATAAAGTGTAAATTTGGTTTATGGCTCACATTTACTGTAATTAATTACTTAAGATTCATAATGGGCAAGGTGGTTAAGGATTGTTTCGTACAAGGACTAATTATGCACTGAGCATAAAAAAAGGATTGTTACGTGAAGATTTATAAAATCGACTTATTATATTCATGTTGTCTCAAGTATAAAGTAATATCTAAATTAAGGTATAAATTATAACTGTCAAAATAAGTTATATCCATTTTTGTGCTGAAATTATTGGTTCATAATCCATCTAACAAATCTTTAATTGCAATTTTGTTGGAGACAATTTCAAATGTGAAGATTTCTATAAATATGGTTTGCAGTCGACTTAAGCAAGAAACACGAAGGGTGTGCGTGTGATATTTTAGCAAGATGAATCTTTAATGATTTGCTAAATTTAAAGAGGAGCAACCTCATCAATTTTATACAAAAGAAATTTCCTTTAATCAATATGCACAGTGTAGTTTTAAAATAAATTTTAAAAAAAAGATTTAATTAAATCTCTTTCAGACAATAGGAAATACTTAAAGGACAAAAAATTAATGTGAGAGAATCTGTTAAACGACATCAATATTCCAGTATTCAAGTTAATAATCTTTAAACAAAGAAAAAGTAAAGAAAATACATAAAATGTATTAAATCAGAACGCTCAGGGTGTTTTTTGTAATATCGGTGCTTTTGGTTTGTGAACGTGTTGATTACTGTTACTTTATGTGATGAGTCAAGTAAAGCACAAGACTAACATAATACAAAGTACAAACCAAAGCATAACTATCAAAAGAGAAAATCCGACACATGATTAAGGACTAATTGTGTAATGAGTCAACTTAAGATTCCAAAAGTAGTACTTTTTGCACACAGGCTTTTGCTCTTTTCACTTTCGTTTTTTAATTAAAGATTTTAAATAATGAGGATTATTTTTCCCCCAAGCTGTAGCGCAGATTTCCTCTACGTTATTGTTGCTAATTTTCTTTTCCCACTAAACTTCCTCTTTATTCCTTCTTTTTGCGATTAGATCGAATTTGATGCCAAATCAATTTTATTTGGTAAATTGTGATAAGTGAAACCGACGATGAATAAAGACGGGAAGTCAGAGGAAATAGAAATTAAATATAGTCACATACACATATCTGTCATCGCCCATTAAATAGCATGTGCATAATCTTTCCGTTCAAATAAAAATCAGAAAGAAAAGAAAAAAAAAAGAATCTGTCCCTCTTGCATTATTGTAGTAGTTAATAAACTGCTCGTGCTCCTTTCTTTCCAAAAGTGACTTCGAGTGCATGATGAATTTGTTTGGTGGTGCATCTAAAAAAAAACTCAAAAAAGAAATTCGGATTATATTGTGCGTATTCAAACAATATATCTAGCCCACAAGCACATGCTATTAAGATAATTTTTCATTGAGGGTGAGCAGATTGATTTACATCTAATGTCGAAATTGTGGATTCAACCCTCGGACCTCTTGATTGTTATTTTGATGCCTCAACAATATGATCGCGGTTTAACTTCTATGCTTATAAAACTCAAATCAGTGGCATATTTGTTTACCAGTAAAACGGTACAATTAAATTTATTGTGTGGTTTATAAGCAAACGAACTGATTGGATCAAAAAATGACAAAAAAATAAGATTAGAATTGACATTAGCAATTGAAATTGAAGAAGGTGACAAGCCTTACTCCGAATGCAATGTCTCCGAGGACAAAAATGAGAGCAACGATAAAGTGTAAATAAAGTTGTTAAATTGAGAGCAAAAGTAGTAAAATATAGTCTTTTTTGTATAGAATGTTTCGTCCCTACAATGGTTGTTGAGCGTGCTATTTATAGTTCTACCTAGGGAAAGCAAGATCCTAGGATCAAGCTCCTCTTTAAATGATAGTAAAATAGTCATTAATGAACGGGTAACGGCAGGCAATGAATGCAAATAGACTCTGCAACGGTTGCTCATTTAATATTAATGAATTCATTGAATGCTATCTGATGGCAAACCCTTGATCTTCTCCCGTTGACTACGTTTCCTTCGGGATTTACCTGACGTCGATTACATTCGTTATATCGTGTATTGGTTATTACCTGACTTGCCTTTTGGCTATCTTTGGTTCCATGTGTCATGTTACAATTTGACCATTTGTTATAAACCAATTTTACCCCATATAGTGTGACGACCCAAAAGGGTCATCACCTGTATTCCTACTCCCTCTGTACTTCTGAGGCCCTGGAAACCTCATTTGGGGTTGCCTCGAGTTGTGTGCGCAGTCCGGGCGCGTAGCCGGAAAAGTTTAAATATGAAATTTGTGAGAAAAATTGTTAAATCTTGGTATTTAATTGATTAAGTTTGACTTCGGTCAACGTTTTGGGCAAACGGACCCGGACATTTGATTTGACGGTCCCGGAGGGTCCGTAGGGAAATATGGGACTTGGGCGTATGCCCGGAATCAAATTCCGAGGTCCCAAGCCCGAGAAATAAATTTTTGTGTCAAATTGTTTTTTGGAAATAATTAAGAAAATTGGAAATGAAATTTGATTAAAAGACTGTGGTATCGGGCTCGTATTTTGGTTCCGACGCCCGGTACAAGTCTTATATACGGCTTAAGTACTTTCTGTAAAATTTGGTTGAATTTGGACGTCGTTTGACGTGTTTTGGACTAAAAACTCTAAAGTTGATGTTTTATGAAAATTGGAAGGAAATCCTGGGTCTTGAGACCTAATTTAATGATTATGATGTTGTTTGGGCGATTTGATCGTACGGATGAGTCCGTAGGATGTTTTTGAGTTTATATGTATGTTCGGTTTGGAGCCCCGAGGGCTCGGGTGAGTTTTGAGTGGGTCCCGGGAGGTCTTAGGCTAGAAATATCAGATGGTTGCAGGTTCAGGTGTTGCAGGCCCCCAGCGCGGCCGCAGTCATTTCCGCGTGGTCCGCGCTGGAAGCCGCGCGGCCGCGGTGCGTTCTTGCGCGGTCTGCGTGGCTAGGTTCAGAAGGCCAGTGGTTCAAGTCGACCAGCGCGGCCGCATGACTAATCAGCGCGGTCCGCGCTGGGTAGGTTCAGAGAGTGGTTTTCCCACTCTTCCTCGGCGCGGCCGCGGGGCATTTTTGTGCGGTCCACGCCGGGTCTTCAGCACAGTATATAAAGTCGGGATTTTCAGTCATTTTTCACTTTTTCAAAACCCAAAACATAAAGAGGCGATTTTCCAAACGATTCCACTTCTTCAAAACGATTGGTAAGTGATTTCTAACTGATTTTTCTAAACTTCTTAACATCCTTAAACATAATTTCAACTTCAAAACAAAGATTTTAATGGGAAAATTGGGAATTTAGGGTAGAACCTAGGTTTTCTAAAATTGGGGGTTTTGGACCTCAATTCGAGGTCCGATTCCAAAATAACTTACATATTTGAGTTCATGGGGAATGGGTAAACGGGTTTTGGTTCGGACCTCGAGTTTTGATCATGTGGGCCCGGGGGCATTTTTGATCTTTTGGGGTAAATTGATGAAAAAGCTATGATTAGTCACTGGGTTTGATTTGTTTAGCACATATTGATATCATGAAGTCCTTATTGCATAGATTTGGTTGAGTTGGAGCCGAATTCGAGAGGGAAAGCGATTGTGGAGGATTGTATTGGCCGTGGAAGTTGAGGTAAGTGTTGGTTTAACCCTAGCTTGAGGGAATAGGAGTCGAGTCTTGTTTGCTAATTGCTAAATGATCGAGTACGGTGTATAGGCGTGGTGACGAGTTCCTATACATTGGGGTCTAGCATGACCGTGAGTCCTTATATGTGGATTATTTGGATATTGTTATACCTTCCATGCTTAATTGATGGCTTCTATGCGTTGTAAACACCTTGTGA